CAAAACTCAGCCTAAGTGGCATTGCAAGCATGACGAAAATAATGGAATAGATACAGCGCCTTGAAAAAGTCTTCATACCCCTTGAAATGTTCCACATTTTGTCATGTTACCACCAAAAAACGTAAATGTATTTTATTGGGATTTCATGTGATAGACCAACACAAAGTGGCAGATAATGAAGTGGAAGGAAAATGAGAAATGGCTTACGAAATTTTTTACAAATAAATATCTGGAAAGTGTGTCGTGCATTTGAATTCAGCCCCCTTTACTCTGATACCCCTAACTAAAATCTAGTGGAACCAATTGCCTTCAGACAGGTCAGGGATAAAGTTGTGGAGAAGTTTAAAGGAGGGTTTGGTTATAAAAAAATCCCAAGCTTTGAGCATCTCACGGAGCACTGCTCAATCCATCATCCGAAAATGGAAAGAGTACGGCACAACTGCCAACCTACCAAGACATGGCCGTCCACCTAAACTGACAGGCTGGGCAAGGAGAGCATTCATCAGAGAAGCAGCCAAGAGGCCCATGGGAACTCTGGAGGAGCTGCAGAGATCCACAGCTCAGGTGGGAGAATCTGTCCTCAGGACAACTATTAGTTGTGCACTCCACAAATCTGGCCTTTATGGTAAGAAGAAAGCCATTGTTGGAAGAAAGCCATAAGAAGTCCCGTTTGCAGTCTGTGAGAACATGTGGGGGACACAGCAAACATGTGGAAGAAGGGGCTCTGGTCAGATGAGACCAAAATTGGACTTTTTGGCCAAAAAGCAGTGGTAAAAACGCTATGTGTAGCAGAAAAAACTAACACCATCCCCACCGTGAAACATGGTGGTGGCAGCATCATGTGGTGGGGATGCTTTTCTTCAGCAGGGACAGGGAAGCTGGTCAGAGTTGATGGGAAGATGGATGGAGCCAAATACAGGGCAATCTTAGAAGAAAACCTGTTAGAGTCTGCAGAAGACTTGAGACCGGGGTGGAGGTTCCCCTTCCAGCAGGACAACGACCAGAAACATCCAGCCAGAGCTACAATGGAATGGTTCCGATCAAAGCATCTTCATGTGTTAGAATGGCCCAGTCACAGTCCAGACCCAAATCCAATGGAGAATCTGTGGCCAGACCTGAAATTTGCTGTTCCCAGACGCTCTCCATCCAATCTGACTGAGCTTGAGGGATTCTGCAAAGAAAAACGGGCAGAAATGTCCCTCTCTAGATGTGCAAAGAGACATCCCCAAAAAGACTTGCAGCTGGAATGGCAGCCAAAGGGGGTCCTACAAAGTATTGACTCCGGGGGGCCGAATACAAATGTCACCACACTTTTCACAGATTTATTGGTCACAAATGTTTGGAAACCATTTCTCATTTTCCTTCCACTTCACAATTATGTGCCCCTTTGTGTCGGTCCATCACATCCAATCCCGATAGATACATTGTAACATGACAACATGGGGGGGGGGGGATACATTGTAACATGACAACATGGGGGACATTTCAGGGGGGGGGAGGAGGATACATTTTAACATGACAACATGGGGGGCATTTCGGGGGGGGGGGGGGAATACATTGTAACATGACAACATGGAGGGGAGATGCATTGTAACATGACTACATGGGGGACATTTCAGGGGGGAGGGGGATACATTGTAACATGACAATATGGGGGACATTTCAGGGGGGGAGGAATACATTGTAACATGACAATATGGGGGACATTTCAGGGGGGAGGGGAATACATTGTAACATGACAACATGGGGGACATTTCAGGGGGGGAGGGGAATACATTGTAACATGACAACATGGGGGACATTTCAGGGGGGGGAGGGGAATACATTGTAAACATGACAACATGGGGGACATTTTAGGGGGGAGGGGGAATACATTGTAACATGACAACATGGGGGACATTTCGGGGGGAGGGGGAATACATTGTAACATGACAACATGGGGGGGACATTTTCGGGGGGGAGGGGATACATTGTAACATGACAACATGGGGGACATTTCGGGAGGGGTGGGGGATTACATTGTAACATTGACAACATGGGGGACATTTCAGGGGGGGGGGAATATATTGCAACATGACAACATGGGGGACATTTCAGGGGGAGGGGAATATATTGTAACATGACAACATGGGGGACATTTCAGGGGTGTGAAGACTTTTCAAGGCACTGTAAGAATAAAAAACAGAATAGAAAAGATTAGAAAAGAAACAGATTAGAATAGAATATCATCGAATAGAATAAAATAGAATGAATATAGCGGTCTTCTAAAATTTTAATTTCGAAATCCAAACTTTGTATCTTAAATTTGAATTTCAAAATCAATTTGAAAATCACAAATATAACGAATATACAAAATGAATCTGAATATGCGAAACAAATTCTAAAGACGAATCGCTCTATATTTAACGAATACGACGAAACAAAAATTATTCACTTTGCGAACAAATCCGAAACAAAAATTTTCCATCGTGCACATCTCTAGTTACTACCAATTATTCCTGTACACTCACCGGCCACATTATTAGGTCCACCTCTTTAATTGCTTGGTAACACACAAACTGCTAATCAGCCAATCACACGGCAACAAGCAACTCAATGCATTTAGGATCTAGACGTGGTGAAGACGACTTGCTGAAGTTCAAATTGAGCATCAGAATGGGGGAAGAAAAGGAACTTAAGTGACTTTGAACGTAGAATGGTTGTTGGTTCTAGACGGGCTGGTCTGAGTATTGTTTTCAAAAACTGCTGATCTACTGGGATTTTCACACACAACCATCTCTCTAGGGTTTACAGAGAATGGTCCGAAAAACAGAAAATGTCTAGAGAGCGGCAGTTGTGTGGAGGAAAATGCTTGTTGATGTCAGAGGTCAGAGAAGATTGGGCAGGCTGGTTTCAGATGATAGAAAGACAATAGTAACTCAAATAACCACTCCTTACAACCAAGGCTGCAGGAGACACCCCCACCAAGCCAATACACATAAACATATACATCCCATAATAGTTTGCTCCCAAGCAAGACACACAATAGAACAATGGGATACAACCACATGGCACCAAACAATCAACAACCCCCACCCCAATATTAGGACAGATCACCCTGTACCCCTAACAGGCACAGGGTGACTTACACATAATAGGGATATGGGGAGCTGAGACAGGGGTCTCCCCACCTCTCCAAAGTGAGCTGGGTTCCATGGGCCCTCCACCAAAGTGACTCCGTCGCAATGTGAAAATCCCAGTAGATCAGCAGTTTTTTAAATGCTCAGACCAGCCCGTCTGGCACCAAACAACCGTGCCGGCTTCTGTATTTACAAGTGAGACCGGTGAGCACATGGCTGGTGATGGAGGTGGTGGTACCGCAGGGTTCTGGATGAAAAAGGCCATGATTGGACCCTGCAGTCACACCTCAGGGAAAAAATAGTTGCTGAAGCTTCCAATGCATGCCCCCTCTACATAGAGATGCTGCACCCAGGGCTCATGTCCCTTCTTCCCCCCCCCCCCCCTTTGTCCCAGTCCTGGTCCCGAGCATTCCTTCCAGGATGCATACTGCCATAAACGTTCCTAAGTGCCCCATCTAGGCCGCAGCAACTGTCAACCTCTACTAGGGTTTCTGGCAGCGGGGCCATGTGGGGCCCTGTGCCCCCCACCCTCAGCTAAATGCCAGGGGGCTACATGTCCAGTATGCGTGGGGGCCCAAGCAGACTGGGGGGGGGGGGACAGGAGGGCTTTTAAGGGAACAATGTCACTTTGTTGTGAAATGAGTAAAGAAACAATGGCTTCTATTATTTGATTTTATTTCAGGTACTTATATAGCACCTTCAATTTACGCCGCACTTTACATATATATTGTACATTCACATTGTGACGGGAGTCACTTTGGGTGGGGGGCCCCATGGAACACAGCTCCCTTTGGAGGGGTGGGGAGACCCCTGTCTCAGCTCCCCGTTTCCCTATTATGTGTAAAGTCACCCTGTGCCTGCTGGGGTACAGGGTGGAATGTCCTGCTATTGAGTAGACATGTATATAGGTGGGGTGGGGGGGTTGTTCATTGTTTACTGCCATGTGGTCCCAGTGTTCTATTGTGGGTGTCTTGCTTGGGAGCAACTGTTACGGAATGTATGGTGTTTGTGTATTGGTTTGGTGGGGGGTGTTTCCAGCAGCCCCCCCTCCTGATGGGACTGTCTGTTGGTGTGTGTCTGTTGTTGCCAAGTATAGATTGCCCCGCCCTGTGTCATTATACAGGGAGGGGGGGAATTTGTCCCCTGAGTGTATAAAAAGCCAGTTCGAGTTTCAAATAAAGAGTTCCATGTTTATACATACTGGTGTCTTGTAGGGTCAAACGGTGGTGTCCGTGGATCTGTGTTCGGACAGGGAAGCGGGAGTGTAACAGAAATACCCTAGTGCAGTCGGGGGCCTGGTTCCGTTACACACATCAGTCCCCGCCCCTGAGGAGCGTACAATCTAAGGTGCCTAACTCACATTCATACACATACTAGGGCCAATTTAGACAGGATCCAATTCACCTCCCAGCATGTCTTTGGAGTGTGGAAGGGAAACCGGAGTAGTACCCAGAGGAAACCCACACAGGCACAGGCAGAACATGCAAACTCCAGTCAGGTGGTGCCGTGGTTGGGATTCAAACCAACGACCCGAGTACTGCCAGGTGGAAGTGATAACCATTCAGCCACTGTGCTGCATGCTGTTGATCCTGTTATGCACACTCAGAAGCTTGGTGACAACATTTGTTGTAGACGTCCATTTAAAAAAATCGAACTGTTGGGGAACCTCTCAGATCTGATCTCTGAGTATGTTCAGAGAAAGTAAATTCAAATAATTCGGGAAAGTTAAAATCTTTTATTATGAAGCCGATGCGATAGGAATAATATTTCTCTTCTTTCATGAGCCCCAATCGTGGCAGATTTTTCTAAAACACAACCCACAAGCGGCGCGTGAACATTCAAACGTCTTTTATTTTGTCATGGTCATACATGATAAGATCTTCCGACGTATGAGATATGAAAGTCTGGAAATGTATCAGCTGATCCTGACCAGGGGGGGACTGACCATTGGAAACTCGGGCACTGCCCGAGGGCCCGGGGTCAGTAGGGGGCCCCATGAGATGCCCCTGGTACCTTTTTCATAGGCATTTTTGAGTTTGGGAAGGACACAGGGGCCCCATGATCCCCTATTGCCCGGGGGCCCCATGAGTTGTCAGTCCGCCCCTGATCCTGACATTACTATCCACCGTCGTGAACAATATGGCCGTTTGTCAGAATACATTTACAGACCTCTATGTCAAATCTCCATGAAATGTCAACATTTTCCACCCGCAAACCTCATACAAAGCAAAACCGATCACATTCTATGCAACACCACATGGTTGGAGCGAATACTGAAACAATGCAGGACCCCCCCACCCCCTCCCCCCGCTATACTTCTTCAATTCACCTGCAAATGCCTGGAGATTCACCTTAAAGTGGTTGTAAACCTCTGAGATGGAAAAATGAACAAAGCATATCCTTCTATAGTGTGGCACTTGCCCAGTCCTAAGCACTGAGTGTGATTTCTGTTCTGCTCTCTTATTCAGCTGCTACCTGTCACTTCTGACAGTCTGTGGCAGTGGTCTCCAAACTGAGGGCCAGATCTAGCCCTTTACTTGCCTTTAGCTGATCCTTAGGGCACTATTCCTTCCATGGAATACAAGGCACTATCCTTCCCACTGACACCAAACAATGGAGCACTATTCCTTCCACTGACTCCATAGATGAGGCACTATTCTCCCAGTGACACAATGATGGGGCACTATTCCTCCCCACTGACACCAATGATGGGGCTCTATTCCCTTCCACTGATACATAGATGAGAGCACTATTCCTCCCACTGACACCAATGATGGGGCACTATTCCTCCCACTGATACCAATGATGGGGCACTATTCTCCCACTGACACCACAAATGAGCACTATTCCTTCCACTGACTTCCATAGATGGTGGCACTATTGTGCGTTCCACTGACACCAATGATGGGGGCACTATTCCTCCCACTGACACCAATGATGGGACACTATTCCTCCCACTGACACCAATGATGGGGCACTTATTCCTTCTCACTGACACCAATGATGGGGCACTATTCCTCCCACTGACAACCAATTGATGGGGCACTATTCCTCCCAACTGACACCAATGATGGGGGGCACGTAATTCCTCCACTGACACCAATGATAGGAGGCACTATTCCTTCCACTAATACCAATGATGGGGCACTATTGCCTCCCACTGACACCAATGATGGGGCGCTATTCCTCCCAACTGACACCAATGATGGGGCACTATTCTCCCTCCACTGACACCAATGGATGGGGCACTATTCCTCCCATCTGACACCAATGATGGGGCACTATTCTCCCAACTGACACCAATGATGGGGCACTATTCCTCCCACTGACACCCAATGATGGGCACTATTCCTCCCACTGATTGTCATGGAAATTTTATATTGTTGGTTCGAACTTTAAATGTGTCATATATTCGTGTTATTCATATGTCTCTCGTGTGGCTTAATTAAAGCTCTGAAGGCTGCAATTGGGCCATGCGCATGTACAATGTATGTATTACAGTACTCAGCTCGGGGTAATGGATGAGATGGCGGATCTGCGTATAGACCGGCGTGTATACCACCATTCGATGCGAATGCCGCTGGCAGTAGACCGCGGGCCTGTATCCACATATCAGCAAGCATAGTTTACCACATGGACTTCGTGCCGCAAGGCGCCAAGCGGTACGAACTCCGCGTGTGTAGGCTCATGCATATCTTACAAAGCCATTAACCAACCTGAACTGTATTCGGATGGATTTTGTTTTAATAAAGATCGTATCGGGCCCATCCAGGTACAGACTGACTATTTCTAGGGAATGCTTGTACAGAGAATGGACATACTGCTTAGGAGCTGGAACAAGAGATATGCTCTCCACAGAGGGCTCATGGGGGGAAGGGGAGGAAGTCTGCTGACCTCAGAAGGCTCATGGGGGGAAGGGGAGGAAGTCTGCTGACCTCAGATGGGCTCATGGGGGGAAGGGGAGGAAGTCTGCTGACCTCAGAAGGCTCATGGGGGGACCAGTGACAGATAATAGAAAAGGCTATGCTCCAATCGGAATGTACATCCTGTGTATAGGCACTCCCCATTGCATTGTTCTGTGGGAGGGGTTTGACCTTATTCATGTGGGGGGGGCGTGTGTGTATTTGTAATAAAACCAAAGGGGAGAATGAAAATGGCCCTTATGATGAATTCAACCATCAACCTGAAGGTGTCGTGTGATCATTTCCAGGTATAAGGAGCTCCAATCACCCACATTTCAACAGAAGCTAAAGTAGTTGGAGGGGCAGGAATCGTGTAGTTTAGCTGCAGTCGTGGTAAGCGAGATTCGCACAGCTTTATGGGGGATTTCTGCGCATCCAACTGCGAGTACTCACGGTAAGGAGAAATTCGTTTAAAGCGAATTTCCAAGACACTGACACCAATGATGGGGCACTATTCCTCCCACTGACACCAATGATGGGGCACTATTCCTCCCACTGACACCAATGATGGGGCACTATTCCTCCCACTGACACCAATGATGGGGCACTATTCCTCCCACTGACACCAATGATGGGGCACTATTCCTCCCACTGACACCAATGATGGGGCACTATTCCTCCCACTGACACCAATGATGGGGCACTATTCCTCCCACTGACACCAATGATGGGGCACTATTCCTCCCACTGATACCATAGATGGGGCACTATTCCTCCCACTGACACCAATGATGGGGCACTATTCCTCCCAACTGACACCAATGATGGGGCACTATTCCTCCCACTGACACCAATGATGGGGCACTATTCCTCCCACTGACACCAATTGATGGGGCACTATTCCTCCCACTGACACCAATGATGGGGCACTATTCCTCCCACTGACACCAATGATGGGGCACTATTCCTCCAACTGACACCAATGATGGGGCACTATTCCCCCAACTGACACCAATGATGGGGCACTATTCCCCCCACTGACACCAATGATGGGACACTATTCCTCCCACTGACACCAATGATGGGGCACTATTCCTCCACTGACACCAATGATGGGGCACTATTCCTCCCACTGACACCAATGATGGGACACTATTCCTCCCACTGACACCAATGATGGGGCACTATTCCTCCCACTGATACCAATGATGGGGCACTATTCCTCCCACTGCCACCAATGATGGGGCACTATTCCTCCCACTGACACCAATGATGGGGCACTATTCCTCCCACTGACACCAATGATGGGGCACTATTCCTCCCACTGACACCAATGATGGGGCACTATTCCTCCCACTGATACCAATGATGGGGCACTATTCCTCCCACTGACACCAATGATGGGGCACTGATATTCACTATTCCTCCCACTGACACCAATGATGGGGGCACTATTCCTCCAACTGACACCAATGATGGGATGCTATTTGTCCCACTAATACCAACAATGGGGCACCATTCCTACTACTGGCACCAGTGATGAGACACTATTCTTCTTCCTACTGCCCACAGGCATTACTTTAACTGACAATTGCGCGGTCATGCAACGCTGCACCAAAATTACATTTACATCCTTTTTTCCTTTTTTTTTCCACAAATTGAGCTTTCTTTCGGTGGTATTCGATCACCTGTGCACTTTTTATTATTTGCACTATAGGCAAAAGACCGACAATTTTGAGAAAAAAATAATATTTTGGATCTTTTACTATTGAACATGTCTAGTAAAAAAATCTTAAAAAATCAAATAAAAAAATCCCGATAGGTGTAAAATAATTGGTTTGTGTGAAAGTTATAGCGTTTACAAATGGCAGTATAGATAATGGGATTTTTTATCTACTAGTAATGGCGGCGATCAGCGACTTTTAGCAGGACTGCTGAACTGCGGTGGACATTCTGACACTGGGGGGGGGAACTAACTTGGTGTCACTGACATCCCCCAGTGACACCAATTGGTGCTAAAAAAAAAGTGACACTGACTAATCCCCAGTGACACACAATACATGGCTGTGATCAGTGCTAAACAAAAAAAAAAGCCCTGACTCTGGGTACTAATGCCGGGCCCTGGTAGGGTAGGTGCGCGCGCGCCCCCCTACCCGGAAATGAAAAAATCACATACAGTGGGGATCGAAAGTTTGGGCACCCCAGCTAAAAATTTGCATTAATGTGCATAAAGAAGCCAAGAAAGATGGAAAAATCTCCAAAAGGCATCAAATTACAGATTAGACATTCTTATAATTTGTCAACAAAAGTTAGATTTTATTTCCATCATTTACACTTTCAAAATAACAGAAAACAAAAAAATGGCGTCTGCAAAAGTTTGGGCCCCTGCAGAGTTAATATCTTGTACTGCCCCCTTTGCAAGTATCACAGCTTGTAAACGCTTTTTGTAGCCAGCCAAGAGTCTTTCAATTCTTGTTTGAGGTATCTTTGCCCATTCTTCCTTACAAAGTCTTCCAGTTCTTTGAGATTTCTGGGCTGTCTGTCACGCACGGCTCTTTTAAGGTCTATCCATAGATTTTCAATGATGTTGAGGTCAGGAGATTGTGAAGGCCATGGCAAAACCTTCAGTTTACGCCTCTTGATGTAATCCCCCGTGGATTTCGAGGTGTGTTTAGGATCATTATCCATTTGTAGAAGCCATCCTCTCTTTAACTTCAGCTTTTTCACAGATGGCATCAAGTTACCATCCAAAATTTGCTGAAATTTTATTGAATCCATTTTTCCTTCCACTCGTGAGATGTTCCCTGTGCCACTGGCTGCAACACAACCCCAAAGCATTGTTGATCCAACCCCATGCTTCACAGGTTGGACAGAGGTTCTTTTCATTATATTCTGTGCCCCTTCTTCTCCAAACGTACCTTTGCTCATTCCGCCAAAAAGTTCTCAATTTTAACCTCATCGGTCCACAGAACTTGTTTCCAAAATGCATCAGGCTTGTCTATGTGTTCATTTGCAAAGTTCAAACGATGATTTTTGTGGTGAGGACGTAGAAGAGGTTTTCTTCTGATGACTCTTCCATGAAGACCATATTTGTACAAGTATCTCTTTATAGTGGAATAGTGACCACAACTCCAGTGTCTGCCAGATCTTTCTGGAGGGATCGTGCAGTCAAACGTGGGTTTTGAATTGTTTTTCTCACAATCCTGCGAGCTGTTCTGTCTGATATTGTTCTTGGTCTTCCAGATGTTGCTTTAACTTCCACTGTTCCTGATGACTGCCATTTCTTAATTACATTCCGAACAGAGGATATTGACATCTGAAAACACTTTGCTATCTTCTTATAGCCTTCTCCAGCTTTGTGAGCGTCAACTATTTTCAGTTTCAGTTTTCTAGACAACTGCTTAGAAGAACCCATGGTGCTGATTGTTGGGGCAAGGTCAGATGAGTCGGGGCATTTAAAACCTTTGAGATTGACATCACCTGGTCTTCCCAGACGATGATTGAGAACAATCCATGACACTGGCAGGTCTCAGCTTGGCAAAGGGGGCAGTGCATGCTATAAATTCTGCAGGGGGCCCAAACTTTTGCAGACGCCATTTTTTTGTTTTCTGTTATTTTGAAAATGTAAATGATGGAAATAAAATCTAACTTTTGTTGACATATTATAAGAATGTCTAATCTGTAACTTGATGCCTTTTGGAGATTTTTCCATCTTTCCTTGGCTTCTTTATGCACATTAATACAAATTTTTAGCTGGGGTGCCCAAACTTTCCATCCCCACTGTATATATATGCGAGTCTGCGGTCCTTAAGTGGTTAAATAAAATGCCATTAACAACGCACCTTTTGTTTTTTGTTGTTTACCGGGGGGGGGGTATCCATTCCTTCCACTCGGGTCTCAGAGTACACTCACTTCTCTATGCTGTACATAGTGTGACGTCCGGACATGTGCACGCCTGAAAATTCATTTCGTATGCATTCGTTCACATTCGTTATGTTGTCCCGAATAGTTTTCAGAATTAGTGTCGTATCTTTGGCATTCCATTCGTATATTCATTAGTCCGGGTGGATTCGAAAACATTTGGCAGTTTTTCCACAAGATTGCTATATATTCACTATATTATTGAATCGCATGGATTCAGATTGGAAGGAGTCAGGGTTTTTTTTTTTTAAATCTAGTCCAACCCACCCAGAGAAATGGCATGAGCTGATTGGACAATATCAGCTGGTATCATGTGCATCTGAATTAACAAATGGAATGAAATTCGGATCTTTTCGCTGAATCCGAATGATCAAGCTAATGGGCTCAAACTATTATCACATCATGTGACATCATCCGAATGATACAAATGCGTTCGTTCATTTTGTTATAACTTTTTTTCCAGATTCGTTGGCATTCGTTGCTATGTACATCCGGAGATTCGGATACCTCCGTTCTGCCGAAAGTGAAACTTTCCTACGAAAAGCGAATTGTAACGAAAACGAAATGCACATGTGCTGCAGATAAACAGGTACAGCTTATGTAGGAGGATTTGTTTAATCTCTGCGTATTACCCGAGGCCAGTCAGTTCACCGGGGGTATGTAAGGGCTTACAACCACTTTATTCTGCCCATACACTAACCGATTCTTCCATCTACCCTAAACAGCCTAGAAGGACCAATCCCCTGCTTTCTGAAAGCTCAGACAAACTTTGTAAATTCTGGATTTTGAATGGATGTAGAGAAGAGAAGACTGCAGATAAAGAGGTACAACTTATGTAGGAGGATTTGTTTCATCTTTGCGTATCACCAGAGGCCAGTCACTTCACCGGGTGTATGTAAGGGCTTACCACCACTTTATTCTGGCCATACACTAACCGATTCTGCCTTAAACAGCCTGAATGGACGAATCCCCTGCTTTCTGAAATCTCAGACAAACTTTGTAAATTCTGGATTGTGAATGGATGTAGAGAAGAGAAGACTGCAGATAAACAAGTACAACTTATGTAGGATGATTTGTTCCATCTCTGTGTATCACAGTGGTGTATTTATTTCTTGTGCTGCCCTAGGCGACACTAAAATTGGGTGCCCCCCCCTGGATCCAGCAACTCTCTGCCAACCAAACCCACCACCCTGGCACCCCACCATCGGCACTCTCCGCCAGTCACCCCCCTATCCCGCTTGCAGAGGAGAGAGACAGAGTTAGTCAAGCACAGGGCCGGACTGACCATTCGAGCACTCGGGCACTGCCCGAGGGCCCAGGGTCAGTAGGGGCCCCATGAAATGCCCCTGGTACCTTTTATAGGCTTTTTTTGGGTGTGCTTTGCATCTGGGCAAGGACACAGGGGCCCCATGATCCCCTATTGCCCGGGGGCCCCATGAATTGTCAGTCTGCCCCTGGTTAAGCACTAACCTAAACTTCTCCAGAAACTAGCCGGCTATCATTGGGGCCAAGCCCAGTGTCTTCCTTGTGCGGGAAGCTTGCAGCCTCATCGGATTCCATGGCAGAGCCTCACCAGGTCCCCATCCCTGCCACGTGTGCCCCTTCTTCCAGGGGGTGGCGCTGCCCCCCCCTGAGAATTGCCGCCCTAGGCAAACGCCTTGTGGTGTCACCCGAGCCCAGTCACTTCACCGGGTGTATGTAAAGGTTTACAACCACTTTAATTGATCCGCATTGCAGAACATTCACCGCGATACAGTCGTCTGTTTTCTATAGGAAATATTTTCAGTTTTTTTTATTTTTTTTTTTCCAATGTCCCACACAAAAAAAAATTACAATTTACAACATTCTTTTTAAAAATATGCAGCAAAATGTAAATAGCGGATCGGCGGGACAGACACCGAGATAGGCGCAATCCTTATCAGCCACGTCTAATAAGCAACTGCAGCAAATAAATATCCATTTACAATCTTCCATCCCTGTAAGATCCGTTCAGGTCGTAAAATAAAATGAAATAGTCGGGAGATCGAGACGTCTCGTTTTCTCATTTACATTCTTGGAAAAGAAAAAAGAAAAATTGTCCAAAAGAAACAATTTGCACAAGTTTTGAAATCTGCTTGACTGACCATTTGGAAACTCGGGCACTGCCCGAGGGCCCGGAGTCAGTAGGGGGCCCCATGAGATGCCCCTGGTACCTTTTTCATAGGCTTTTTTTGAGTTTGGGCAAGGACACATGGGCCCCATGATCCCCTATTGCCCGGGGGCCCCATGACTTGTCAGTCCGCCCTCTGCTGCTTGCTTTGAGCAAACTCTGTTGCCTGTGTCTGGAGAACAGCTTTGTGGGATAACTATCTATCCATCCAGTCATATCTGACCCTTGGTGATTGCATGGACTGTCACTCGCAAGCAACTTCTTCCATGAATTCTCTTGGCAATTATTTTACAGGGCAGGTTGCCAGGTTTTTCCCCAACCCCCACCATGCAGGAGATCCCGCATGGCCAGGGATGAAACTAGGACAATTTAGACAGGAGCCAATTACCTACCAGCATGTCTTTGGAATGTGGGAGGAAACCGAGAACCGGAGGAAACCCACGCGAACACAGGGAGAACATGCAAACTCCATGCAGGAGGCACCATGGTCGGGGAAACAAACCCATGACCAGGGGCAGACTGCCAACTCATGGGGCCCCCGGGCAATAGGGGATCATGGGGCCCCTGTGTCCTTGCCCAAACTCAAAAAAGCCTATGAAAAAGGTACCAGGGGCATCTCATGGGGCCCCTACCAGGGACAGACTGACAACACATGGGGCCCCCGGGCAATAGGGAATCATGGGGCCCCTGTGTCCTTGCCCAAACTCAAAAAAGCCTATGAAAAAGGTACCAGGGGCATCTCATGGGGCCCCCTACTGACCCCGGGCCCTCGGGCAGTGTCCGAGTTTCCAAATGGTCAGTCTGCCCCTGCCCATGACCCAATTACTGCACGGCAGAAGTGCTAACCACTAAGCCACTGTGCCCTGCCCGTCAGGATACCTATACTTTCCTTTATATATCCTTCGTTCTCATGCACGCCGAACGCTTTTTGGGTTCTTTTTCATGGGCTGTCCATTTACACATAGGCTTTTAATCAGCGTTTTTTTTTTTTGGCGTGTTTTTTTTTGGTGGGAACTCCCAGAACTAATTTTTCTGAGTTTTTTTTAAAAAACGCTCTGCTGAAAATTACGACAAAAAAAAAACGTAAAACGCGCCAAACCGGCGTTTTTGGCCTTTTTTGAGCAAACAAAATGCCAAAATGCACAAACGCGGAAAAACACAGGTAAACGCTAATGCAAAAATGCCAAAAAAAAAAAAAATGCTGGAAAACTCACGTTTTGAATGTACACAGCTGATCCAACCAGCGTTATTAAAACGCCCCGTGTGCATGGAGTCTTCTAGTTATCCCCCTCCCCCCTAGTAATCGCCAAATTCACCCCCCCACACTCCGTAACTTGGGTCAGTAGAGTATCCCAGTGTCGGGACAAGTTATGCAGGGCCCAGGGCAAACATGCCAAATTGCGCCCCCCCCCCTCTCCCAAGATGTATGAGCCCTATGTCAGCAAAAATCCCCCCCCCCCCCCCCCCCCCCCCCCCCCCAAAAAAAAAAAAAAAAAATCTGCATGAATATTCCCGAGCATAAATCCCCCCTCCCAGAGCTGCTGTCAGAAACCACGGGGCCCTGTACAGCCAACGTGACAGGGCCCCCAAATAAACACAGTTCACTAAGCTGTAGTTATGATTGAACACAATGAGTGATTGGTACCGATAGCTCATTGTGTTCATTCAGGAAAGGAAGAGGCTGGTAAATGTGACATATTTACAGACCCTTCCCCCACTCTTCATCCTAAGGATCCTATAATGTATTTGCAGCTGGGAAGGAGAGGAGAGAAGCCAGGAGCATTGAGGGGGTGAGGGACATGGGGGGGGGGGGGGGGTTGGCTTGGGTAGCATGGGGAAATGTATGGTGCTCTATGAGGTGCCATACAGAGGATCAGTTCCAGTAATTGACCCCCTCCCCAACCCCCCCCCTGCTGTGCTGATCACCCTCCCTGCCCACATCCAATTAACTCAGCTGCCTGGGCCCCCTTGCTGGTCTGGCCACCATACAGGAGAACCAGTGGTACCCCCTTATCCACGGCCCTGCTCCCTCCTCCCATTACAATCCCCTCTCTCAGCACAAATCTTTACTTCTTCAATCTCCCCTCCCAGCTCAAATCATCTCTCTCCCCAAATCCCCTCCAGTACAAATCTCCCCCCCAAAAAAAAAAATCACCCCCCCCTTTGCACAAATCCGCTATACTTCTAACTTCCAATCGAAGTACACATCCTCTTCCCCTCATTACAAATCCCCCCCCCCCAATCCTCCATTGTAGTACAAATCCTCCCAAAATTCCACTCCTAGAACAGATTTTGTCCCCTCTCTACCATATCACCTCTAGCACAAATCCCCCCTCCTAGCACAATCCTCTTCCCCTATCCCCCCTCCCAACACAAATCCCCCCAAATCACAAGTCCTAGCACTCCTTCCAAAATTTCCCCTCCTAGGACACTTTTTACCCCCTGCTGTCCCCCAAAATCCCCCTCCAAACACTAATCCCCCTATCTCCTTGTGGCACCCCCACCCACCTCACATGATACCACAGTGCCCAGGACAGCTGCCCCTCCTGTCCCTCACTTGTTCGGGCCCTGGAGTATCCTCAATGTGCACAGATTGAAGATTGAGGTCAGCAGAGGTTGCCTATGGTCTCTGCTTCTTATCTAAGAGGGACCCTGATGTAAGATGGAAACGGTGATGTAAGGGGGGCTCTGATGGGGACCCTGATGTAAGAGGGGACTCTGATGTTGGCCCTAATGTGGACCCTAATGTAAGAGAGAACTATGGTATGGAGCCTGATGTAAGAGGGGGCCCTGATGTTGGCCCTAATGTGGACCCTAATGTAAGAGAGAACTATGGCATGGACCCTGATGTAAGAGGGGGCCCTGATGTTGGCCCTAATGTGGACCCTAATGTAAGAGAGAACCATGGCATGGAGCCTGATGTAAGAGGGGGCCCTGATGTTGGCCCTAATGTGGACCCTAATGTAAGAGAGAACTATGGCATGGACCCGGATGTAAGAGGGGACCCTGATGTTGACCCTAATGTGGACCCTAATGTAAAGAGAGAACTATGGCATGGACCCTGATGTAAGAGGGGGCCCTGATGTTGACCCTAATGTGGCCCCTAATGTAAGAGAGAACTATGGCATGGAGCCTGATGTAAGAGGGGGCCCTGATGTTGGCCCTAATGTGGACCTTAATGTAAGAGAGAACTATGGTATGGACCCTGATGTAAGAGGGAACCTGATGTTGGCCCTAATGTGGACCCTAATGTAAGAGAGAACTATGGCATGGACCCTGATGTAAGAGGGGACCCTGATGTTGGCCCTAATGTGGCCCCTAATGTAAGAGAGAACTCTATGGTATGGACCCTGATGTAGAGAGAATTGAAATTAAAGCACCACATCACTGCTAAGAGGTCCAGAAACAATTTTATTCCATTAAAACTCAGAGTACAATCCAAAAAGGAAGCAATGCGTTTTAGGGGTCCAAGCGCCCCCTTCATCAAAGCATTAGCATGGTTGCTGCCAAGGCCTGTGCTTGTAATTCACACTTGAAATAAATACCATTGTAGGTCCAGTTCACTTCTGGTTTGCTCAGAATTTTGCCAGTCAGGCCCTGATGAAGGGGGCGCTTGGAGCCCTGAAATGCGTTGGATATTTTATGAATTGTACTCTTGACTTTTAATGGAGTAAAGTCGTATCTGGACTACTTAGCAGTGGTGTGGCCCTTCAATTTCAATTCTTGTTACATTACACTACAATCCAAGGAAACTGTGGAGATCCTCCGGAGTGTAGAAGACGCCTGCCCAGGATCCAGATCATTTACACCAACATCAATACCTGAAGATAACAATACCAGCAAGAAAACCCTCTGGATCCAGCACTAACTTTCCATTATTTTCCTCCCCTGATGTAAAGGGGGACTCTGATACTCATTTTTTTTTCACTGAAAAGGGAGGTCCCTGCAAGATTGTCTATTATATGTCTCAGTGATAAAATGTCTCTCCATCTAAATAAATGTGATTTTTCAACACATGCTCAGAAAAATCTTTGTTTCTTTCATTTAAGAACAAAGCAGAAATGGAAGGTAGAGGGATGGGATCTGATGATGGAAAGGTAGTCAAGATATGAGATGATTGAGGCTGATGGTGAGGTAGGATTGGATAGTACAGGGGTGGAAGGCTGGTAGCTGACGGTGAAGGGACAATAAGGATGGGCTCTGATGATAGAAAGGTAGTAAGGATCTGAGATGATGGTGGGGGGGGGAGGGACTGGAGCTCATGATAGTGATTTAGTAAGGATGGAGGCTGATGGTGAGGTAGGATTGGAATTCATAGTACAGGGGTGGAAGGCTGGTAGCTGATGGTGAAGGGACAATAAGGATGGGATCTGATGATGGCAAGGTAGTAAGGATCTGAGATGATTGAGGAGAAGGATTGGAGCTCATGATAATGATTTAGTAAGGATGGGGGCTGATGGTGAGGTAGGATTGGAATTCATAGTAGAGGGGTGGAAGGCTGGTAGCTGATGGTAAAGGGACAATAAGGATGGGATCTGATGATGGAAAGATAGTAAGGATCTGAGATGATTGAGGGAGAAGGATTGGTGCTCATGATAATGATTTAGTAAGGATGGGGGCTGATGGTGAGGTAGGATTGGAATTCATAGTAGAGGGTTGGAAGGCTGGTAGCTGATGGTGAAGGGACAATAAGGATGGGATCTGATGATGGAAAGGTAGTAAGGATCTGAGATGATGGGAGGGGGGAGGGACTGGAGCTCATGATAGTGATTTAGTAAGGATGGGGGCTGATGGTGAGGTAGGATTGGAATTCATAGTAGAGGGGTGGAGGCTGCTAGCTGATGGTGAAGGGACAATAAGGATGGGATCTGATGATGGAAAGGTAGTAAGGATCTGAGATGATGGGGGGGGGGAGGGACTGGAGCTCATGATAGTGATTTAGTAAGGATGGGGGCTGATGGTGAGGTAGGATTGGAATTCATAGTAGAGGGGTGGAGAATGCTAGCTGATGGTGAAGGGACAATAAGGATGGGATCTGATGATGGAAAAGTAGTAAGGATCTGAGATGATTGAGGAGAAGGATTGGAGCTCATGATAGTGATTTAGTAAGGATGGGGAACTGGTGGTGAAGGGGTGGAGGCATGGGTGCTGATGTTGGAAGGCATGAGAGCTGATGTTGGAAGGCATGAGAGACATGAGAGCTGATGGCGAAAATGGAAAGATTAAAGTTGAAGGTGTGGTGTGGAATGTGAGTTTAGGGTAAAGGGATGCAAGGGACAGGAATTATTGGTGAAATGGAGAGCGAGTATAATTGGAGTAAGGGGAATGGAAGTTAATGATGGAGGGATGGGAGATGAAGAGATTGAAGGCACAAGAGGTTATGGTGGTGGAGGGGAGGGATGCTGGAGTGAGGGAAATGCAGAACAGGGGGGACATGTAATGAAGCCACGGAGAGGATGAACAGAGGATGAACATAGCTGGTATTGTAATGGTAGAGAGGAGGAAAAGAGAAGAGAGGAATAAAAGATAAAAAGAGGAGGTGGTACTTGTAAAGCTCAGGTGGTGAAGACCAAAGGAGGATGGTTGGTTTGTGTTATAAGAGGGCATGAGCTGAGAAATATGCCATGAAAAGTGAAGAAATGGTGATGGAGACCATCTGACAGAATATTAGGGGGAACAGACTAGATGCACATCAAGAAGAACAGTAACCAAAGGGTACTATATGGAACCAAATCAGGGGCCAGTTGAGAAAAGATAAGAGGCACTGGGGGAAGAGTAGAGCAGGAGACTAAGTAATCTGAGGGGGGGGGGGACTGGCAAAACAAAATCACCTGAAA